CATTATTCTGCACTAAATGGAACTGACTCAAATATGTTTGGAGCATTTTTAGGTCCTGATTTATATTGTTTTTGTGCAGTCGAGGTGATATTTTCATGATTATTTATTACTGTATGTATTTCTTAAGCACCAAATATTTTTTCATAATAAAGACAATAATTAATAACTCAAATAATTTATTTTAACAATATGCGATAAAGTTTTATATTAAGTTGAAGATTAATTGTGATTAATTCACAGCTACCTTGGAATTAATAGATTAAATTTTTAATAATTGACAGCCCTATTAAATACAAGAAGCAGTTTTTTTTAACTATGTTTTAGGAYGTGAAATAAACTGTAAGAATTGTAGCTGTTTTAAACTCTTCACAGTGACAACTGCTGCCAAGACGTTTTGTATTTTTTATTTTCCATGAAACAAACTCTGTTTTAACATAAAATGCAGCTTTGAGGACACTGAGGATGAAGCAGAAAGTTGATCTATCGACCCCAAAGAAAAAGGTTGAAAGATAAGATGCAGCAGAAACAAATGCAAACTGCTGACTCATGATAAAGTTACTAACATCTTTAACAAGAGTCTGCCTCATTACAGAATACTGTCAGTAAATCTAAAAACACATATGGGAGTAAAAACATAAGTAACATTAATATATAATAGTAATGTAAAAATACTAATAAGTTTACAGATCATAGTTAGAGATGTGCAGAATTATAGAGATTATACTGTGTTTATTAACATAAATGTAAAAACAACGTTAATAATGATAAATAATATTTGCAAGCTCAGAAAAATCATGTAATAAATGTATTTAGTGTTTGCAGCAGCTATATAACAAAGTTTATTGTTTCATCAAAGGAAATAAACACTTTCTGATTTTGCATGAGTTGTAGGGTTGGGCGATATTGGGAAATAAATCATTATTAATTAGCTGATAACGATGAAAATGAGGATTAATCCTGCATGTTCTGGTCACATGACCAGTTTAAATCACTCTAGTAGGAAAGATTTGGAAAAGATTTAAAAATCTGTTACAAATTGTGTCAAAACTGCAGACTTCAGGCTTTCCATCAGTTTTTAAATTGTGTTGACAGACTGAGTAAAACTGGACTGATGGTAAATAAATGACAGAAGTTGTTTTTTAAATGTTATATGTCATATCTGAAGCAGAGAGGAGCCTGGAGAGGACTGACCAGGGACACCTCAGTCAGTCTGTCTGCTGGCATTAATCACATTAAAGGTCCAGCGCCAAAAAATAATCAACGTTTTTCAGACCATTAACTAGTGAGTTGCTGATAAATCTTTTGTTTACAGAAATGTTTATAGATGGACCTAAAAGTTATGAAATTGAACTATTTGAACCTTTCTTTGGCCAACTAATCATAGTGTGTAAAATTAAACCCATTTCAGACTCTGTGAGCACTGAGTCCAGCAGGCAGGGAAATCAAACTACAATCAGTTCATAAAAAACTACTAACTTACTCATACTCAAACTACTCAGACAGTCATGTGGAGTGCCGCAGGGTTCCATTCTCGGACCTAAGTTATTTATTTTGTATAAGAACGATTTGGTAAATGTGTCCGATCTTTTTGGGTGTGTCCTATTTGCTGATGATACAACATTCTTTTGTTCCGGTAAAGATATAAAACAAATGTTGGACATGATACAGACAGAATTTATGAAAAATACAAAGTTGGTTTCAATTAAATAAATTATCATTAAACTTGGACAAAACAAATTATATGATTTTCTGTAATAGTAAGAGAACTACAGATGTTTAATTTAACATTAATGATGTAGATCTGTAGAGTCAGTGAAGTGAAGTTTCTAGGTGTCATTATTGATAAAAACTGACATGGAAACATCATATAAATGGTTTAAGAACAAAAATAACCAAATCAAATCAGTTGGAGTCCTGTACAAGGTAATGAACTGTTCACTGATAAATCACTGTTTATGTTGTATAACGCTATAAT